TTTTTTTTTTTTTTTTTTTTTTTTTTTTTTTTTTTTTTTTTTTTTTTTTTTTTTTTTTTTTTTTTTTTTTTTTTTTTTTTTTTTTTTTTGCGGACTGTACATATTGAGCTTTAGTATATAATATAATATTATACTTAATATGTTTTAGTATTCTTAGCTTCATACAACATTTTCATTTTACTATGTATCATTAAATGAAGTGACATTAAGTAATCTTTTATTTATGCATGATAATAAACCTGTAAAAAATTGTATTTGTTAATTATTAACCTGGAAAGCTTTTTATTATGTGACAATAATTAACCTAGAATAAATTGTATGACTTTAATTATTTATATTAATACTTAGAATTTAGGTATATGATGGATCTATGCATGTGTAAGTAATATGCACAGATTTTAATTTAATAAAAATTCTGCTTTTATTTACTTTTTGATACTTCTCTCCATAATTTATTATACTAGGCAATTTTAATCTTGATCACTCACTGATTATGAAATTGGTTAAAATTTGTTAGCAGGTAACACATTACATATACAGTGAAACCTCCTGTTATGGATACTCCTGCAAAACGGGTGCCTCTCAATACGGACATATTTTTAATTCCCCGGTAATCTCCTATGAATTAACCATTATGTACATTCTCTGCAAAGCGGACACTCCCGTAAGCGGACACTAATTTTTCTAAGTTTGAAAAAAAATCTATTTCTGCTTTAAATTGCAAGGAAAAAAATACAACTTTTAGCCATTTTTAAAACATGTTTATTTTTGCCTTATCCAGAACTAAAAATATTGTTAAGCTATTTCACTACTAAAGAATCAATCTTTCTCCTGTTACCTTGCCTTATAGTTGCAAAGAAAGGAGAGAAAATGATACTGCTCTCCTGAAATAATTCGGACATCGGCATCTTTTGATCTTTTCATCTGGACCACACAGGTTATAAGACCCCTTAAGTTAAAATGACATCTTAAAAGCTCACAATGCTTCTTCACCATTGAAAATTTCTTTAATTTTCTTATCAATTTGAAGACTGTATTTAACACAGTTGGAGTAAAAAATAGAACAGAAATATAATCTTTGATGTGTTCATATAAATCATAGATTCTCAACCTTTTTAACGTTACCGCCCCCCTTAGGAGTAAAAAAAATTGCAGCGCCCCCACCCCTTTTGCAAAAATCTAGTTATTTTGAGAAAGAGGGTGGAGGGGGTGCTGAATTATAAGAAGCAACATTTTTAAGCAATTTTTTTAGGAGTTAAATTTGCTTGGTTTTTTTTTTAAAAAATTATGTGCACGTTAGCTCGATATTTTTCTCCCGTCAGGTAATTGCAGTCTATTTGTTATGATAAAAATAAATACAGTATTGGAAAAAAGATACAACAAAGAAACCTATAACAAAAATGAGTAATTTACTCTTAATTCGGTAATGAAAAAAACACCCAAAAATCATTTTTACTCTAGAAATTATTATCAACGAAACAATCAAGTATCTGTGATAGTGGAATGAATGTGCTTGATGGTCCAGAGCCAGTTTCTTAACATTCGGTTCAATATTTTTAGTGAGGTGAAGTCACAAGTACCCTCTTTTTTTTATTTTGTGACTATATCCGTCACAGCACTGAATCTTTGTTCGACAAGGTAGGAGGAAGGGAAGGCAATGTAAACTTTTTTGATGATAGTTCATAGCCCAGGCGAGTGGTGTTACCTTGAAGCCAAGCAAAATTCTGTGAGATCATCACCATTTCAAAGTTTCGTTTCATTCCTTGAAAGTTCGGCCGATTCCTTCTGAATCTGAACCTCTGCTGCTTCAATATTCACAAAATTCATTACCCATTGAGGGACTTCCAGGGACAGAACATCTTTATAACTGTCGGAAAAGTCCATGTGTAAAGACTCATGGTGTTAGCAATATTCTTGTGTATCGTCAGAGGGAATTTCACTATTCTTTTTAAGATCCGATAAGATTGGAAATTGACTAAACTCATTCCGATCAAAATTTTGTTTCCACAAATTTTTTTTTTTAGAAAGGCAGAAAAACTAATTTTGTAGTGGTCAAATTGAGCTTGTGGCCATTAACACCATTAAATTTTGCAAATAAATCGATCCTGTGTGCAACTTCTATCTTAAATTCTAGCAATTTGTCTTTCAGAACTACATTTCTGACTTCGAGGAACTCAAGTACAAAGTCGAAAAGATTCTAAAACCTATTGAGACAGGCGACTTAGAAAAGCCAGCGAATCTCAGTGTGTAATAGCAAACGATTGAATTCATTGTTTGTATTTTTTTGCACAGCTTATGAATAATCAATCGTTGAGAGCATTTCTGCGAATTTTGTTCACAGCAGAGCTTGACATATTGCAATGACTGATGTAAACGACTACTGAGATTTTTTTTTAACTAAATGCTGTCTTAGAATCCCTCTTCAAAAAGGCGATAAACCCACGATGTGCTGCCGCCATTGCAGGAGTTTCATCAATGGCAAGAGATAATATTCACAAGAGGAATATTTTTCTGTTTAAAATAATCTTTTGTAGTATTAAAAATAGATTCACATTGGGTTTCTACAATCAAGCTTCTTGCAAAAAGCATATCTTGAATAATTTTTCTTTTAACAAACCGGACGTACGCCAACAGTAAAGCCTCATTACTTGACAAAGTTGACTCATAAACTTGAGGGGAAAATACGTTGGATATCAAAAGTTAGCATAAAGAAACTTCAATGTCTCATCCATCTCATTATTTCGCCGGTGCACTTTATCGTTCCTTAATGGGATATTTTTTATTACATTGGATGCAGCTGGATGATGCAAAACTGTTTCTAAAATTTCCTTGACAGCCGGCAGTATCAACTCTACGCCGATGGTATGAAAGATTCTCAGACATAGCTATTAATTTTGATATATTATAAGAGGCTATCAAACTATCATTGCATTTTTGTGATGAGGTTGCTAGTAAGCCTGAGACCGAAGGTGCCATCAGAAACTTGTGCTTGATGTTCGTAAAAATGACAGATCTTTATTTGGTTTGTCAGGATGAATTTTTTGCAAATGCTCCTGCAAACGG